CCCCAAAACCCCAAAACCCCAAAACCCCGAGTTGCAGTAAAATTGAAAGTAAAAAGCAAAAATTCTTTATAAATTTATTAAGAATGTCTAATCATCACATAATGTCTAATTTTTATGAGCACAAACCTTCAAGTGAGGCTATCAATACTTCAGTCACGCAAGCATAAAATGTTAATCAATCATTTTAAGCAATATCAAATTAGTAAATAAGCAGATAGCCTACTGGATAGAGATAAGTTACCTCATCAGGTGGATAACCTCATCTTGAGATCGCTTAGAACAAAGTAAAAGGGACAATTTCTTCTTATTAAAATTTAGGCAAGATCGAACAAATAAGTTGCTGAGGTCTATTCACAAGGTTTAATCAAGTCAAAGGGTTAAATTAATGGGCGTGATTAATAATCAAATGGAAATTAGCATCGTGGCCTTAGAAGACATCATGAACTATCAAGCAGTAAGTATTTATTATCTTATTGATGAGAAATCGAAGTGATCTAATTCATTCCATGTTATTCATTTATTGATATTTTCTACTTGTAGAGCTGAAACTGGCAGGAGCAGCATCTTTACAAAGGGAACCTCGAGAAAGTAGTCTTAAGAATGGAATTAATATCAGTCATGAGCCACCTACGCTAAATTCACACATAAACACACTCCCCTTATCTAGTGGAATCATTTAAAAACAAGGTTTGATAGGAACATCTAATGGGGCAAATTCACATCTTAATGCTAATAATGGTTATAATATAAACCTTCATAATGCCCCCAGAATTATCCTTAGTGGAAATGACTCTCCTCTCAATAGATAGAATGGGTCTTAATCGAATAATTAAATAACACTAACTTCCTCGAGGAATAACCCTGGAGCTGGTTAACAGAGTAATGCCCCAACCACCACTCATTAACAATAAATTAATCAGTAAAGACTTGGGGATTAACTTCCTATACAAAAACTTAACAAAAACTAATCTCGAAATAATATGGATCACAGATAGTCAATATCATTTGAAGGTTAATAGTAACAATAACCGTAAAGTCAAAATCAAAATTAGTCATTAAAGGATTCTCTTCTTTAAAAAGAGAAAGATTCTGGAGTGAGAAATCCATATTTAGCCTCAGCTAAAGGATAACTTAAAAACAACAAGGCTTAGCAAAAACTTAGAGAAAAGAGTTTGAATGTTTTCCAATCAAATTAGAGCTCTAATACAAATACAAATAACAATAGTCTAAATAAAAACTAGAAACCGCCCATCTATCAAGAATCTAGCAACCATAAGACATCATCTTCTAAAGCAAGTCCTAAGTCTAGGATTAACAATGGATAGGATTCACATACTATCTCTGGAAATATTCAATCTAGCAGCATTTAAAAGCCTACTGAAAAAGGATTATAAAGGAATAACAGCGTGTTTAGTAGGAGAGATCTCATCAAGCAAGAATATGATAGAATTATTGAAAATAGATTGCCGAACATCATCAACTTGATTAACCAAGACAAGCATTCTTTACAAAATCCGTCAAAGGAAAATAACAATAACAAATCATTTAGCAACGAAATAATGGAGTATGATGACACTGAACTATTTTCTCAAATTTTTTCAAAGGAAAAACTCACAAAACACATACTATTTCATCAACCATACATGGGAGGAAGTTTGTTGACAGAGGCACCAACCCATTCACTACATGACTAGAATTCAAACCCTAATACATAAGGGTCTAGTCATTAATATCTTAACAATAATAGTGACATTAGGAAAATAAGACCTCCACAGCCTCATATGACTTCCTCTCAAAGTTAGGATAGGATATATGGCCAATAATAGATTTCAAATCATGAATCAAATCAATAAGCTGTTTAGAACAGAGCTAGAAAGGCTAGAATAGATCAACCTATCACTAATAATAGCCATAATACAAATAGTAACGGTCAAGATTCTATGAGATAAAGAAAGCTCTCAGTTGAATTGAATAAGCATGTTGATATGCTTAATAACATTAAAGTAGGAATCCCAGAATACGAAGAGAATGGAAATAAAAATTCAAAACATGATCGCTTTAACTCTAATAACAAAATTAAAGATGACTCTAAATCTACAGCTAGTGGAATCAAAGATGTAGAGATCGAAAGACTTGACAAGTTGTAGCTCATTAATGCGAGTGCTAGATATGAATTACTTTCAGTGAATTAATAATTGCTAGACTTTCATTTGAACAGAATAGTGAATAAGAAATTTAAAGGTAAAAAGAATTTGCAAATAAATGGGGACAAGGCTGTGCACTCACTTAATAAAAGCAGCATCTAGATATAATAGCTAGAAAAAACTCCAAAGGAAAATGATATTGATGAAAGGAACAGTGATGCCTATAATAGCGAGTTATCATTAAGTTTCTAGGAGTCATCAGATCGAAACAAAATGGACAGAATAAAACAGCTTGCAGCTCCACATGCTATTATGCAAGAGTAAGCCATCTATATTAAGTTTAATTCTAATTTATAGTCGATTGAATTCAATGAACCCACTAACTTTCGGAGATACTATTCGTTTACCAAATGTATTGACATTCAACGAAAATTGATATCATTAAAACATCTGCACACACCTAAAAAAGTATACCTTTAATATAATATAAATTAAATCACGCTCAAATATCTGAAATTTAATGTTACATAATAATCCTAGTTTATGGGGTTTTGGGGTTTTGGGGTTTTGGGG